TCTACATTTTTTGTCTTATTTATAAAATTATTTCTATACAAAATAATGAAAATATATGTAGAGCCCGTTTGGTAACATCAAAATTGGCTGAATTGGTTGATTCTGTTGAAATTTATGAAGTTCTGACTGAAGTGGCTGTATTGGCTGATTTTGCTGATTCATGAAAAAATTATATTTAAAATATTTGTTATCAATAAATTAAATAAAAAATTATATGAAAATATAGCTAAAATGATCATCCACAGTAACTTCAGCCAAAACAGCCAGAAAAGTAACTCCAACCTTATTTTTTCTGCTTATTACAAACTTCAGCGCGCGAAATCAAAACCTACGTATAAACCTACGTGTTTATACGTGTTTTCTGCTTATTTTTTCTGATAAGCCTAATAAGCCGAAAAAAGGGGTCACCAAACGGGCTCGTAGACATGAGTTTAGCGGTTATAAGATTAGGTTGAAGTGGAAATATATAACGTCTGGGTGATATTAGAATAACATATACATAGACTATATAAGTTAATAATCTTGGTCCAATTGGTCCAAAATAACATATACATAGACTATATAAGTTAACATATACATAGACTATATAGAATAACATATACATAGACTATATAAGTTAATAATCTTTGTACTTCCTCCGTCTCTTTTTAGTTGCAACAGTTAACATTTCACGTTTGCCAACGCACAACTTTGACCGTTATTATATTTAATTCTGTATTAGTAAAAATAAAATAAAAATCAGATTATAAAACTCAGTAATGAGACGAATTTAACAATATTTTTCAAAAAAAATAATTCACATACATTAATAAATAAAACGTAGTCAAAGTAAAGTGCATGAATAGTGTATATATTCCAATGTTGCAATTAATGTGATACAGAGGATAGTATAATATAAGAGCATCTCCAATGCTGCAATGTGCACGGTGCACATGTGGCATGAGAGAGATAGACACAAAAGATTTTCCCTGCAATGTCAACCACAATGTCTACATCTAGACATTGTGCTTGACATTGTGAAGAAAAACTTACCAAAATGATATAAGATCCTTCAAATAAGGAGAGAGATATTCTATTTATTGTTTTTTCATTGGTTATCTCTTATGCTATGTATGCACCGTTAACGTTTTAGCATTGAAGATGCTCTGAATGAATTAATTAGCTGGACAATTGGATTTCTCCAATTATTCCTGCTTATTCCCGCATTGAATCATTCCTCAAGTCATCATAACATTAAGTAAAGTTATTTATTACTCCGTATATATGATAAGCAATGTATACTAAAGGAGATGCTTGAATGTGAAATGTTTGACCAATGCATTAGATCCAAATGATCGAGGTACAATAACTTTTTTACTGAAATTGAGATACAATAACTTAGTATATCAATTTTATAATAATATAATCGAAACAGGCATACAATTCAATCCACTAGAAGAAAATTGACTTTTTGCGATGAACAATTTTCGACCAATGGTTAATTTACTCGAATTATGACGAAGATATGTGTTTTATGAACCATATATATTGTGATACCACATGTATGCGATCACAAGGGTAAATACACATAACATTTGAACAAATTAAGGAGTCCATTATCAACGTCCATAATTACTTGAATCCAATTACAATTCTAGAAAAATATTCAAATTTGTAATAACGTACATAGAATACCTCATCTTTACAATTTATAGATTCATTGGATATGAAAAAGTAGCCCAAATTTACAAAAATTAAGTGGATAAAAATGTAGATAAAAGAATAAAATAGAAAAGTAAAAAATTAGATTTTTCAATTTAAAAAAACATATTTTTAGTCTAAAAAGAATTATTTCTCTTATAAAATAAAACTCATTGAGTAACAAATTTATATTAAAAAAATACTAGGGTGAACACATCGGTTTCAATTGGGTTTTAATATCAATTTGAATCGGTTTGAAATAAATTGGAATCATACTATGTTTTTGTTTAGTTCGGAATAATTCAGTTCATTTCGGTTTGAATTTGTTATGTTCAAAAACATATTAAGAATTTATTGACTATTTGAGTTCAGCTCGACCTTATTTGATCTCTCACGGTCTCAATTTGTTTTAGTTTGATTTAATTTGATTTGAAAGACATACCACGAAATTCAAACGAAATTGCGTATGATTTGATTTCGGTTCATTTTGGTACAATTTGGTTTACTCAAACTCAACCGGTTTGTTGAACCCCTAAAAAACACCCATGAAAACTCATTCTCTCATAGGTGGCATCCATGGAAGTCAAGTGAAGTAGTACTTATTCATAAGACCCTGTTAATTAAGTAACATTGCAATTGACATAATCAGTTAAGACTGCTGAAATTATTAAAATCTGATTGAACTGATTAAATTTTCTAATTCTGCTAATTTATAGGAAAATTATACTCCGTATTTAAAATATATTTAATTAATGAAATAAAAAATTAGATGAAAATTAATGTAAATTTTTCTTAACCTTTTTCTTTATATATCCAATGTTTATCAAATTTGAGTTTTTGCGACTTTACAAGATTTTTTAATGTAACTTTTGAATATGTAAATTTTATTTACAAAAATTTATTTTGTTATTAACAAGGATTACTTAAGTTTATGACCTATCAAATATCGTAAACTCAACTAGGACCGTTACCCGGGCCGGGTGTAGTATACAATAATATTTATTCAATCTCTTTTTTATTTGAGTAATGTGAGTTGATATTTCCCGTGCAACGCACGGGTTCATTGTCTAGTATTGAATAAACAAAAAACAATACTACATTATATGCAAACACAATTTTGCAGCATACAGGAACCCTAGTTAAACGAAAAATGTTACTCATTATTATGCTCATCCAGCTAAATAAGGTAATAAATAATAACGTTATTTTTAAAAATGAGACATGCGGAGGTCAAAACATGCATATATTCTACATTTAATCAATTTCTATATGATCGAATAATTATTTCTTTTACGGAGTATTTAGTAAAATATATATTAGCATGTTCAAATACAAAATGATCGAGAGTACTATCAAAAGTGTTGGATCGGTCTCTAGTTAGAAACTCATTGAGGTCAAGGAGCACGCACTTAAACACTGCATGTTAGAAATATGTCGAGTGATATGGAAAAAACTCTAGATTCCTTCTTTCTTAGTCAACTTGCCTGAATTATGTATTCAAGTTAAATCTGGGTATTCATATAATGGGAGTATGACATTATTTCAGTTTTGACTATATCAAGATGTGGTTATGGGCTTATGGCATGAGTAGCCAAGAATATTGTCCTAGCTTAGCCTAGTGGGTATCGTTCCATTGCATTATTGGTCAAAGATAGACAGAGAGAAATGAAACATCTCTTTAAATATACTCCGTATATGGCAATGCTTTTGATCCAAAAGGTGGAATCTTCCAACCCAGGAGTCCCCCACTCCGACCCGACAGGATGGTGGGGAGGTTAGTCACGGTGACTCAGTCAGCAGAATGACAGTAGACTCATACACCCGTGCGCACCAGAGGCCCAGCGGCCTTATTTCAGGTTCTGTGACCTCCACCCGGTCATTGCGGGGATTCGAACCTTGGTCCATTGATCCAAATCTCCCACCACTCGAGTCTCGACCAACTGAGCTAACCGTGCGGGTTATATATATGGCAATGCTAAGATGACTGTTGTGTCCTGAACAAATATAAAAAAATTATCAACATGTGTTTTTTTGTATATTAAAAATTTGAAAATAAGGAATAAAAAATATACTACGTATATTAGAATCATGTGATTTAATGATAGTATATGGCAAGCTAAGGGCCAAGGGAACCCTGCCTGAGTTAGTTGAATAACAACACGAGGTTTAGAGGTTACAAGTTGGATTTCTTGCCATTGTATATTTATACCCATTCTTGGTCTCAGTTGGTCTGCTATGTAACCTTATAATAAGCTGATTTATCAAGCTAGTGTGTGGGTCCTTCACCCACGGCTAGAGGGGCCCAAGGAAAAAAAATGTGATTTAAATTATATTTACAAGCAATAAAATGGTACTCCCGTGTTAACATTTTAAAACTATGAGCCCTCAATATAAATTATTTTCAGCATTATCCCCTAACATAACATTTCTGGCTTAGCCATTATCTTCACTCCTTTGTCAATCACTCCTATAAGTGTGGATCCTCAAACAAACTCCGATTTATTAATTTTCATTATATATGTAGTGCACCAAGTGTTTTTCCTATAGTGTCACACGATTTAGTTATCTTCCTCCCACATACGAAAGACAAAACGCACATACGGGCCGGGTATTTGGAAGTGATTCTGATTCTGCTTCTTTTTTAAGTGAGAAGCAGAATCAGAATTTTTTGCTGTTTGGAAAAATGATTTTGTCTAGAGTGTTTCGTATTGATTCTGGTGTATGTAATTGAGAATCAGTTTAGAGTGTTTGGATAGCTTGCTTTTAAAAACGGCTTTTGATGTAAATTTACCAAAAGGGCATATATATTAGGCATTCCTTGTAATATAAAATAATATTGTTATTTGCATATCCATAGGCTAAGATAGAGATATTAGAAAAAATAAATTTACTTGAATAATATAATCCAAATAAAATTAATTATAACATAATAAATTACTTGTACTAAAAATATGAAAAAATAATTGTTTATTTGAAAAGTACTTCATTTGTTCATTTGAAGTTGAAACACTTCCACTTTCATTTTTAGAAACTATATTTTTTCTAAAATTTATACATATATTAGAAACTAAAAATAGAACTTCAAGAATGTGAATTTTTATTTTTCACAATTATATAACTAAAAACATAACTAAATTACAACTATAAATCTAAAATTATGTAGAATCACTCATCAGGAATTTTTGTAAATTACGTATTTATTCGTTTTATATAGATATGTTTGAATATGTGCACATCAACAATAGTAAATACTCATCAAATCGCATTGATCATTTAAAAATCAAAAATAAAAATGTATCAGAATATAGATGAGTTGTCAAAAAAAATATAAACTACACATGCATTCGGGAAAAAATAAATGTAAATGCATGAAAGTTTTAAAGTGTATTTTACCAAAATTAAAGTTAACGAAAGTTAGCATTTATCACATTTGCTATTATGTTTCTGATAGCATTCATGTGCACTACATCTTCACTTCTTTGACTTGATGATCCCTCTCCTTGTGTGAATGGAACATCTTGAGAATCAACTTCTTCATGCGGGTCATATGCTTCATTTTGAGCCACTAGGAATGCGTCATCTTGAGAATGCTTCATTCTAATGTAGTTGTGTAGCGCCATGGATGTAACAATGATGTCAGTTTGAGTGGCAATAGTGTGGTTGACATGCATGTCTTTGAGTATAGACCATCTTGCTTTCCAAACACCAAAAGTCCTCTCAATTACGTTGTGCAAAGATGAGTGTATGTAGTTGAATCTCTCTTCTGTCCCCTTTGGAGTACATGCTCCCCTTGTTTTGCCTTTTCGAAAATCCTGAAAGTGATACCTTATATGTGTTCCCTTATAGGGTGCAAGATAGCCCCTACTATTTGGATACCCTGCATCAACTAGATAATACTTATCTATAAGAAAAAGAAAACATGACTTTTAGTATTTTAGAAAGAAAAAATGATTATTATGTTGTTTGTTACCTCCACTAGGATGTGGGAAGTTTCCGTCTTGCCTCAGTATCGTATCGGTAAATATTCTTGTATCATGAGCAGATCCTTCCCATCCCGCCAATACATATGTGAAACACATGTTGAAGTCACAAACTGCTAGTACGTTTTGTGTTGGGTAACCTTTCCTCCCAATCCATTTTGTTTGCTCACCCTCTCTAACACTAGCCTTCACATAAAAACTGTCTTTAAATTGCACTTTAAAAACAGAAACTCCTCATTAATCTGCACTTTAAAAACAGTATAAAAGCATACTGGAACTTTGTAAAAACTGCACTTAAAAAACAGAGCTTCAAAACTGCACTTTAAGAACTGGAACTTTATAAAAACTGAACTTTAAAAACAGAATTTGAAAACAGTTTTTAAAGTTGGAACTTTGTAAAAACTGCACTCTAAAAATAGAGCTTCAAAACGGTTTTTAAAACCTGGAACTTTATAAAACTGCACTTTAAATACAGAATTTGAAAACAGTTTTTAAAAACTAGAACTTTGTACAAACTGCACTCTAAAAACAGAATTTGAAAACAGTTTTTAAAAACTGGAGCTTTGTAAAAACTGCACTCTAAAAACAGAACTTCCAAACAGTTTTTCAAAACTGGAACTATATGATAACTGCACTCTAAAAACAGAATTTGAAAACAGTTTTAGATGTATGGCTATCCATATGACATCCATGATAGTACTCATGGATTGAGAAGCTGCCAATTAAAATCCTAAAGTCCACTACCGTATTAAATTTTATTACAAGGCTATTAGTGTAATCTTAAACCCCCTTCTCCTAGACTTACGTCAACTTCCCACTAATTAAAATAACCATCCACATAAAGATAACTTATTCAAGGTAAGTTGCAGACAAACAGAATCCATGGATTAATGCTAACCGTAAATTGAAAACTAGCATACCTTTTTGTAACTAATAATTAATGGAAGAATTTACAAATTGAATTCTTAATTCACACAATCAATCGATCCATACTAACCTTTTATTTTCAAAACCTAGCTTCTATTTTTGAATGAAGAAGTTAATATTTCAGCATACGTAGAAGTTTATGATATGTGAGCGGTGCTTATTAAGATTATAGAATATGCATTATATCACATTGCATATTAAGATTACGGGATGTGCATCATATATCCATAATGTCTGCATAAGTTACTTTAGAAGTTCATATTGATAAAATATCTCGATGTTTCATTTTAGAAGTTCATATATTGCATTGTAGTAAAATGACAGGTGCACTGTAGAAGTTCATATGATGCATCTTATCGTTACAACATTTGCATCATATACTCAACTAACATGCATATGAGTGGTCAAGATACGTGTGAACCGCATATAAAGGTTACGAGATGTGCATTTTATAATTATAATGTCTACATATGATAATATTTCTGAAATAAATTCCTTTTATTTACAAAATTAATCACTTCATACTTATAATGTATGCATATTAATTATGCATATGTTGCACTTTAGTCACATCATATGAGCATTATCTATGTTTCATATTTAGCTAATAAATTTATTACCTTGCACTTTGGAAGTTCATATGTTGCATTTTATCATTATGAATCTGCATTTATTCTATAATCGTTTTCGAAGTTCATATGTTGCATTTTATCATTTGTACATGTGTTGCATCTTATCGTTATGACATGTGCATCATAGGAGATCATATGCTGCATCTTATTGTTATAACATGTGCATTCATTCTATAATCATTTTTGAAGTTCATATGTTGCATTTTTATCATTATCACATGCATTTTTAGAAGTTCACATATATTGCATTTCAGTGAGATGACATGTGCATCTTAGGAGACCATATGTTCATCTTATCGTTATGACATCTGCATTCTAAACTCAATTAACATGCATACGAGAATCATGAGGTTTAGATGACACGATGCATAATATATGAGAAGAGTGTTCTAAATGACAAAAATACTACTACTCCCTCCGTCCCGCAATAAACTTCCCACTTTCTTTTTTTGGATGTCCCAGAAACAAGTTCTCATTTCCTTAAATGGCAAGTTAATCTACATCAAAACAGTGTCAAACAGTGCAAATTAGTGTCAAACAGTATCAAAACAGCGCCAAACAATGTCGAAACAGTGTCAAAACAGTAAAATTTACCCCATAATAAGTTTATTTCCTTAATATGTGTGTAGGTCAAACTGTGAAGTTCATTGTGGGACAGATGGAGTATATATTACATACTAAAGCTATAAGAACTTCGCAAAAACATGAAATTGTGTTGATTCATATAAACATATTTGCATACTAAAACCACAAAAACTTTTGCATACTAAAATCACAAGAACTTTGCATAAACATGTAATTGATGAATTGATATGACAACAAATATCAAAAAAAAAAAAAAACGGCTTGCCCGTGCACACCAAATTCCATGGTGATGCCAGAATCCATGGAGTTCGAGAACTAATGTTCTCCCTGTGTGTGACGGAATCTATGGAGTTTGAATAGAAGAACACTAATCAAATTCTATTAAATTTGAGATGGAGATAGAGATGAAGATGGAGATGGAGATATGGAGATGGGGATGAAGAGAAGCTTTGATATCTAGAGTAATTGCTTATTGATGGACTATGAACTTGGTAGGAGAGAGGGAAGGAATCGATTATCATTTGGGTATGAAAAGGTAACATGAGATTTTTTCTAAAAATAAAATAAACTAAGAAGACTAATAAGCCCCTTGACATGCCAAAATATGTAGTGTGAAATGATGTAAAAATGTGAATGGAAATGATGTTTTAATTGGCTTGTAACGATATAGTATAGAGTAAGTGAGTATCGTTCCGCTAAAGAATGGCTCACAAAGAGAACTAGAATTAATGATTGATTTTTAGCTAATCACAAATTGATACATTTTGCAATGGAGCTAAGTGATTGGATTTTTTTAGAGTAAATTCCCAAACTAGGAGTAAATCATAACAAAAGTGCAATAAAAGGAGTACATTGTTCCGTGTGATATCATAGAAGTAAAAAGACATGGCTGGACAAAACTGCCCTTAATGAAAACCCTAATTATATTTATTAAAAATGTAAAATAGAATAATAAAAAGGTTGTAACATAACGATAGCATAGCCTCTTGCGCTAGCACCACCCACCACCTACACTAGATGTTGGCGCCGCCTGACACCAACATCACCTTGCGGTTGATCACTCTGCCGCTGGACGCCGCTGGATGCTGCCACCACCAGTCACGGCCGCCGCCACCGCCGCCGGTCGAATTCATGTAACACCACCACGTTTTGTTCCATCATTGTCCATCTAAAATATGTGCAACTTTGTAAATGTAATCTAACCATTTGAATGTCATTTGTATATACCAGAGTATATTAAAAACAGAGGATATGAATTTTCTAGCCATCTTGACCTTTTCTTGGCATTATAAATAGTGTATTTACAAGGGTATAATATTGCCATCATTGTGAGTTATTGCCATATAATTGACACTATTGGTGTTAAAAACATGACATTTAGTATTGTAATTGTCATATTGTTTTAAAAAAATGGCACTATGTGCCAAAATAATATTTTTATATAGAAAAATGGCATTATGTGCCGAAATTACAAAAGAACTCAAGAAGAGGAATCTGAAATTTTTATAAAATGTCAAAAATTATAACACATATTGTAAAAGATAAAATTTCAAAAGAATAAAATCTTGATGAAAAAGTAAAAGTCAGAACCGAGAAGATAGCAAGAAAAAGGTTTGATTGAAACAAATCATGAAAGAGAAAAAAATTGAAGTGAAAATCAATCAAAAAGGGGTAAATAGCAGCAACTTCACGGTGCAAAAAAGGGGGAAATAAAAAGGAAGAAGAAAAAGAAGAGAGAAGAAGAAGGGAGAAGGAGATGATACAAACTAACCTGCGATGATCGACGCTCTTGAATTTTTTATCAGAGTTGGTGAGAAAGATTAATTTGTAACAGTAGAAGAAGGAGAAGGGCTAGTGCTCTTACAATGATGAATCGAAAGAGAACGTGCAAGTGATGCGTGTGGCAGGAGAAAAAAAAAGAAATGAGTGGAGATAGAGGAGAGAGAGGGTGGGAGGATAAGACTGACGCGGAAAAAGTTCAAAAGAAGGGTATAATTGGAAAAGAAATTGCACGGTCAAATAGTTAACTCCTATTTGGAGAATAAATCAATATGAACTCCTAATTTGGAACTTCTTTATTGTTTTACTCCTATTTAAGGTAAATACTTTTTTTTATCTTGTTTTTAAAAATGCGAAATTGCTAGGGAATAAAATAAATCACAATACTTGGTAATTTAACAATTAATGATAGAGAAAATTAGGCTTGGGCTAAGAGTAATTTTATTTTAATGTTCATAATAATAAAGATTTAACTAATAACTTAGTTACTTTTAGGTGTGTGAAAGATTTACAAATGGTAATCTTCTAATCGTTCCCACGACTTAGTTGATTACACTATCTTAAATTAGTAACAGGCCGGGGTAGTATACCCCAACACAAGTCCTCCAATTTCTTGAGTAGTGAGCCTGCAAATCTACTCGAGAAAGTATACTCTTGCTCACGTCCCTCCTTGCCTTTCCTGAATCGGCGTCTCTGAATAGTCTCGGACGCAAGGTATGCATAAGTGACAGGTGAAGTGTAGCCCCCACACTAGACACGACGGCGCTGTAGAATCAGCCGCTCGTGCTGCATAAAAGTGACGGTCGGCATCATAGATTAAGGACCGACGAGCCCGATCAAAAAGAAGGCACGACGGCGCTGATGAGCCAACCGTTCGTGCTGCATGAAAGCGGCGGTCGTCATCCTAGATCAAGGATGGACGAGCCCGACCGAGATTCAGGCACGACGGTGCTGTGGAGCCCGTTCGTGCTGCATAAAAGTGGCGGTCATCATCCTAGATCAAGGATGGACGAGCCCGACCGAGAGTCAGGCACGACGGTGTTGTGGAGCCCATTCGTGCTGCATAAAAGCGGCGGTCATCATCCTAGATCAAGGATGGACGAGTCCGACCGAGAGGCAGGCATGACGGTGCTGTGGAGCCCGTTCGTGCTGCATAAAAGCGGGGGTCATCATCTTAGATCAAGGATGGACGAGCCCGACCGAGAGTCAGGCACGACGGCGCTGTGGAGCCCGTTCGTGCTGCATAAAAGCGGCGGTCGTCATCCTAGATCAAGGATGGACGAGCCCGACCAAGAGTCAGGCACGACGGTGCTGTGGAGCCCGTTCGTGCTGCATAAAAGCGGC